AAGTCTGCTACACATTTTCCTAAATTTTTGGAAAAAATAAAGACCCTGATGAAAATGACGGATGATTGCGGATATAAATTCTTCGTCAAAACCGGATAAAAGCAGATGATTGCGGGTATAAATTCTTCGTCGAAGCCGGATAAAAGCAGATAAAAGCGGGTAAAAATATCATCTGATAACATCTGCTTTTGTCCGCATCGCTATATCCGTAAACACCCGGTTGGTTGTGTTTTATGTCCGGTTAGTGCACCCCCGCAATCATCTGCAATCATCTGTTTTTAACCGTCTTCACTGTGTTTCGTTTATATCTGAATTTGTCCGGAATCATCTGCAAACGTCTGCTTACGTCTGTTTTTATCCGCGATTACCTGCATTTTTTTCCGTCTATTTTTGTCGGGTTTTGTCTGCAAACGTCTGGTTTTATCCGCGAGCATATGCTTTTACCCGCGAACATCTGCAATCATCCGCGAACATCTGCTTTCATCGGCGAATATCTGATTTTATCCGCCAACATCTGCTTTTATCCGCGAACATCTGCTTTCATCCGCGAACATCTGCAGTCACCCGCGAACATCTGCAGTCACCCGCGAACAACTGCTTTTATCCTCGAACATCTGCAATCACCCGCGAACATCTGCTTTCATCCGCAAACGTCTGGTTTTATCCGCAAACATCTGTTTTCATACGGTTTCACCCACAAACATGCGAACGCCTGATTTCATCCGGTTAGTGCACCCCCGCAAACATCTGCTTTTATCCGCGAACATCTGCAATCACCCGCGAACATCTGCTTTCATCCGCGAACATCTGCAATAATCCGCGAACATCTGCTTTTATCCGCAAACATCTCATTTTAACCGCAAACATCTGCTTTCATCCGCGAACATCTGCAGTCACCCGCGAACAACTGCTTTTATCCTCGAACATCTGCAATCACCCGCGAACATCTGCTTTCATCCGCAAACGTCTGGTTTTATCCGCAAACATCTGTTTTCATACGGTTTCACCCACAAACATGCTTTTATCTGCGAACGCTTGATTTCATCCGGTTAGTGCACCCCCGCAAACATCTGCTTTTATCCGCGAACATCTGCAATCACCCGCGAACATCTGCTTTCATCCGCGAACATCTGCAATCACCCGCGAACATCTGCTTTCATCCGCGAACATCTGCAATCATCCGCGAACATCTGCTTTTATCCGCAAACTTCTCATTTTATCCGCGAACATCTGCTTTTATCCGCAAACATCTGATTTTATCCGCAAACATATGCTTTTATCGGCAAACATCTGCTTTTATCCGCAAACATCTGATTTTATACGCAAACATCTGCTTTTATCCACAAACATCTGCTTTTATCCGCAAACATCTGATTTTATCCGCAAACATCTGATTTTATCCGCAAACATCTGATTTTAATCGAAAACATCTGATTTTATCCGCAAACACCTGCATTTATCCGCAAATATCTGCTTTTATCCGCGAACATCTCCAAACATCTGCTTTTAATTGCAAATCTCTGCTTTCATCCGCGTTCGGTTTGCCTGTATTTCCTTTGTGCATTTCGGTCCTGTTTCGTACGCAAACGTCTGGTTTCATTCGCGCTTTTTGTTTTCCTTTTTCTCGTGTATACTTTAGTTAAGTTTACCTGCTTTGTCAAATTTTACTGAGCTTTAACTAACTGGTTTTTAGCCGTTCACGGCACACAACTTTATAACTCTAAAAAGAATTATTTGAATAAAAACAACCTGTAAAGGAAATAAGTTTATTCAACACGACATTTTCCCAATGGGAAAATAATTTAATTATATTCACCAGATTTAAATTTAAAAATCAGGTATACTATAGTGAAGAGTACCACAGAAATAATAAGTCTATTAATTCTTACATAAAAAATATTGGTTATGCCAAAATTAAAAAGTTTTTAAAGTTAGATGAAAAATTCTACGCCTAAATAAGTGTTTTTCAAACAAATTCCATACAAATTGAAGATGTTATAATTCCAAATGTATTTGAAATTAAACATATATGTTTTTTAACAATTAATTTAAATGTAAGCTTAATGATTAAAAAATATCTATTTATGTCCTTTAACAAAGACCTTATTTGTATTTTACCAAATAATATTGAAGTTCAATAAACTTATTTCCTTTACAGGTTGTTTTTATTCAAATAATTCCTTTTAGAGTTATAAAGTTGTGTGCCAGTTAGTTAAAGCTCAGTAAAATTTTACAAAGCAGTTAAACTAAACTAAAGTATACACGAGAAAAAGGAAAACAAAAAGCGCGAATGAAACCAGACGTTTGCGTACGAAACAGGACCTATGTAAATGGACAAAGGAAATGCAGACAAACCGAACGCGGATGAAAGCAGAGGTTTGCAGTTAAAAGCAGATGTTTGCAGATGATCGCGGAAAGCTCAGTAAAATTTGACAAAGCGGATAAACTAAACTAAAGTATACACGAGAAAAAGGAAAACAAAAATCGCGAATGAAACCAGACGTTTGCGTACGAAACAGGACCGAAAAAGACAAAGGAAATGCAGGCAAACCGAACGCGGATGAAAGCAGAGATTTGCAATTAAAAGCAGATGTTTGAAGATGTTCGCGGATAAAAGCAGATATTTGCGGATAAATGCAGGTGTTTGCAGATAAAATAAGATGTTTGCGGATAAGAGCAGATATTTGCAGATTAAAATAGATGTTTGCGGATAAAAGCATATGTTTGCGGATAAAATCAGATATTTGCGGATAAAAGCAGATGTTCGCGGATAAAATGAGATGTTTGCGGATAAAAGCAGATGTTCGCGGATGATTGCAGATGTTCGCGGATGAAAGCAGATGTTCGCGGGTGATTGCAGATGTTCGCGGATGAAAGCAGATGTTCGCGGGTGATTGCAGATGTTCGCGGATAAAAGCAGATGTTTGCGGGGGTGCACTAACCGGATGAAATCAGGCGTTCGCAGATAAAAGCATGTTTGTGGGTGAAACCGTATGAAAACAGATGTTTGCGGATAAAACCAGACGTTTGCGGATGAAAGCAGATGTTCGCGGGTGATTGCAGATGTTCGAGGATAAAAGCAGTTGTTCGCGGGTGACTGCAGATGTTCGCGGATGAAAGCAGATGTTTGCGGATAAAAGCAGATGTTCGCGGTTAAAATGAGATGTTTGCGGATAAAAGCAGATGTTCGCGGATTATTGCAGATGTTCGCGGATGAAAGCAGATGTTCGCGGGTGATTGCAGATGTTCGCGGATAAAAGCAGATGTTTGCGGGGGTGCACTAACCGGATGAAATCAGGCGTTCGCAGATAAAAGCATGTTTGTGGGTGAAACCGTATGAAAACAGATGTTTGCGGATAAAACCAGACGTTTGCGGATGAAAGCAGATGTTCGCGGGTGATTGCAGATGTTCGAGGATAAAAGCAGTTGTTCGCGGGTGACTGCAGATGTTCGCGGGTGACTGCAGATGTTCGCGGATGAAAGCAGATGTTCGCGGATAAAAGCAGATGTTGGCGGATAAAATCAGATATTCGCGGATGAAAGCAGATGTTCGCGGATGATTGCAGATGTTCGCGGGTAAAAGCATATGCTCGCGGATAAAACCAGACGTTTGCAGATAAAACCCGACAAAAATAGACGGAAAAAAATGCAGGTAATCGCGGATAAAAACAGATGTAAGCAGACGTTTGCAGATGATTCCGGACAAATTCAGATATAAACGAAACAAAGTGAAGACGGTTAAAAACAGATGATTGCAGATGATTGCGGGGGTGCACTAACCGGACATAAAACACAACCAACCGGGTGTTTGCGGATATAGCGATGCGGACAAAAGCAGATGTTATCAGATGATATTTTTACCCGCTTTTATCCGGCTTCGACGAAGAATTTATACCCGCAATCATCTGCTTTTATCCGGTTTTGACGAAGAATTTATATCCGCAATCATCCGTCATTTTCAGCAGGGTTAGAAGAAAAAAGAATAATATTAGAAGAAAAAGCTAAGAAAGAAGTGCAGCAATTAGAAAAAGATATTGAAAAACTGCAGAACAAAATCAAAACTTAGCAAATTATTTGGGGAAATAGGTGAAGGACGGCTTAAGGGGTAATTTTCATGTTTCACGCCTACACCTATTTCCCCCCTTTAAAATTCAGTTTTCTTCCAATAAAATGAAATTCTGTTATACACCACATAACAATTGTTAACTCTTGTTCTATGTTATACACACTGTATAACAAGAAGGTTTATGGCTTAGATAGCTCATAAACGGTAAGAGATATAAAAAAAGTTTTAAGTAAAAATGCAAGGTAAACAAAGATCTATATTATAATAAATTAAAATTAGTTTCAAGAATACAGGGTGAGTCACAAAAAAGTTATTGTTAGTTATTGTTAGTTATTGAGATTAAAACATATGTTTGCGGATAAAAGCAGATGTTTGCGGATAAAACCAGACGTTTGCGGATAAAAGCAGATGTTTGCGGATAAAAGCAGATGTTTGCAGGTGAAATCTTATGAATCAGACTTTTGCGGACTAAATGAGATGTTTACGGATTAAAACAGATGTTTGAGGATTAAAATAGATATTCGCGGATGAAAGTAGATCTTCACGTATAAAAGCAGATGTTTGCAGGTGAAATCGGATAAAGCAGACGTTTGCGGATTAAAGTAGATGTTTGCGGATAAAATCAGATAAAACCGGGTGAATGCAGATATAAACTCAAATACAGGTATTTGCGGATGAAAACAGATAAAAGCAGACATAGATCTAAATAGATAAAACCCGACGTTCGCGGATAATATTTATACCCGCAATTGCAGATAAAAACCGACATGCCGGGTAAAATCAGATATGTCGGATAAAAACAGATATAAATGGACATAAAACTAGCTTGGTTTTTTATCCGCAATCATCCGATATTACCCGTCTTTTTCAGCAGGGGATTTTATTTAAATTCCACTGCACAAAAGTAAAAAAACCATTACTTAACCACACATTAATGTGGATATACAGCGTCCTCCCGATGCTTTACATCCAGGTGAACGCCATGTCCGGATTCTGCGAGATCAAAAACATGTCCCTGATCAAGTTCCAGCTGATATTCATGGTGATCAGCGTTTGTCTAACCGTACTAACTGCGCTGGCGCTGAAAAACATCAGGAGGACTTTGATGGAAGCCGGAAGATCGCCTTTCAAGCTCGAAATCCTCTTCTACAGGCTGCTCATAATCAGCGTGGGCATAAGTCTCCCGCACATCTGCTATTTGCTGGGCCAGTTTTACGACACGTACAACGTCGCTTTGGTGAAGTTGGTGCTGAGGACTGTCAGCATAATTTTCTCGACGCTTTGGGTGTATTCGCCGAAGACGTTCAGAACGTGGAACGACCTGATTTGTTCCGCGTTCAAATCTAAACCGGAAACCAGGGTGATAACGGAGAAACCCAAGAAGAAAACCCTACTGAAAGCCTTAATCCCCAAGATATTCAAAAACGGGGGGATCCCTCACCTGGGACCAGTCACCAAAGTCTAAATTTTGAATTGGAAATCTCCAAAAACATTCACTGTGGTTAATTGTGCCTTGTACTGTTCATAGGTTTTATAGATGATGAACAACTATTTTGCTAGTATGGCGGTTATGTAAGATATTGTAAATGTATTTATTTTAGGTTTAGGATACATTGTGATATTAGGGTTAAGTTTAAATGTGAAATACGTGGATGAATGATTTTTGTAACCGTTTGCTTACATGACAATAAAATAAATTCAATCTTTATTTTGGTTTTATTTTAAAACAAAGTTTTCTCCGTAAAAACGTAGAGGGAATAATTAAGGATTTTCTTTAAATTCCACTACACAAAAAGTAAAAAAAGCATTAACCACAATTAAGTGTGGATATGCAGCGCCCTTTCGATGGTTTTGGCAATAGGCAACTCAGATTACACGGTGATGTTTTAAGTACAACATTGAATCATAGATGGCGCTTAATATCAACAAGAATATATTTAACCAATGAATGTTATTTACTGAAGAAAAGTATAACTAGTTCATTATTTTTACAACTGGACATTTTGGAAAGCATTTAAGCTAAAAAAAAAACTTTTTAGGATTTTTTTATAAATTTTATTTGGAAAAACATATTTTAAGGTACGTTAAACCAACAATTTATACTTTTTTACTTGCTAGGATTATACCGTCGTATTTCTGTTGGAACCATTTCATTGCGTCTTCTTTGTGCAGCCTGTGCTGGAAGCCTACTTTACCTTGCTTTCTGCGTCTGTGGGCAACGTTGAAACCTGGGCGACCTAACACAACGTAAAAGTCCAAACCGTAGATACCAATGCTTGGGTCGTATTTGATGCCCAAATCAATGTGTTCTTGGATACCGAAACCGAAGTTGCCAGATGCTAAAGTTTAAGAAACGTGTGTTATTTTTTGTGTGGAGTGTAGAAAATTAGAAAAATATTTTTTTCTGGTGTACGTTTTGCCTCAGAAATGTGTTAACATCATGTGTACTCAAGAGTAGCAAATACTTAAAAAAACATCATAGGCAATTTTTATTATTTTTATAATCATACAGTGTGACCCATTTGTTTGCGACTAACCCCTGTAAAATCTTTGTGCGATTATGCGTTTAATGTGCGGTTTTAATCGGATTTGTTTTTAAGTGTAGATCTTGATAAACTGTATTTTTGGAACAAAAAACGCCATATTAGTACTAAATACATGGCCTACTATGTGAGTTTTTAAGAGTAAATTTTTAAGAATTCATATTAGCTTGTCAAGTTATTCATGTAAAAACATTGAAATAAAATTAAACTAATAGTAACATGGTACTATAAGTTTAATTTTATTTCAATGTTTTTTTCATGGATAACTTGACAGAATAAATTTTTGTAGTTATTATTGTGCATTTTTCTACTTAAAATTTAGTATAGGGTCGTTTTGAGGGGTGGTGAATCCAGTGCCATGCTTAGATTTTGTTTAAAAAAATCGCTAATATGAATTCTTAAAAATTTACTCTTAAAAACTGACATGGTAAGCATTGTATTTTGTAAAAATATGGGGTTTTTGGTTTTAAAAATACAGTTTATCAAGATCTACACTTTAAAACAAATCTGGTTAAAACCGCACAATAAATAGATTTTACAGGGGTGAGTCACAAACAAATGGGTCACAATGTATGTAAAGATTTAACGATTCAGAAGAAAAACGAAAAAATCGGAAAAATATCAAATCAAAGATGAAAACCTGAAAATATCAACCTTTTTACATAAATTGTACTTACCAGAGAAGTTATCACGTCTCAACTCGTATTCCCTGACTTTCAAGCCTCTTTCCAAGATTTCCTCGGCTTTAGCTCCACGTACCGTGCAATGTACGGCGATTTTTTCATTACGACGGATACCAAAGGAACGTACAGTGTATCTGGCTTTAGAGAACACAGGCTGTTGGCCAGTCAACTGTTCGAGTACCTAAAACGAACGAAACTAACCTTAATACTGGTAGAAGCAAGTTGTAGGTTAGGTTTGGTTTTGTTAGGAAAAATCAGATATGTTTCGACATCATGGCACTCAAGAGTAGCAAATACTAAATAAACATCATTTGTGATTAAAAAGAAAGTCGACAAAATACGCAAAATGTTCTTATTATATACGAAAAATGTTATTTTAAGTTTTTAACGAATAAAACAAAAGCAAACTGTCAGAAAAACGTCAAACTGACATTCCTCCGCACATAACCTGCCTTTTTCACAGAAACTAATAACTTTTACATGTTTAATTTTATTATTGTCGACAAATTGAAAATCTTAAATTAATAAAATCATAAATACCTTAGCAGCACGGGTCAATCTATCACCAGATTCACCAACACAGATATTTAAGCACAATTTGCGGATGTGCAGATCCCTCATAACATTTTTAGAAGCATCTTTGGCCTCTTTCTTGCCTTTCTTGACATCCTTTTTGGGTGCAACGGGCTAAAAAACACCAAAATAACAACACGACAAAACTTATAGGTTATGCTGCGAAAAAGTGCCCTTATCCTCGAACATCCAACACAATACGCGCACAAAGTGATTAACCGATAAATAAGCCATCGATTTACGATTTAATGTTTGAATAAAGTCGGTTTGTTTATCGGATGATTCAAGAATTTCGAGCGCTTAAAAATTCCACTCTACTCACCGCCATGGCTCAATTTTGGAAGGAAGTTGAGTCCGCGTCGGTAAAGCAGATTACACAGTTAACATCAATTCCCCCACACAGCGTTGCCGATGCTAAAAAGCATTGGCTTTACGTATGTAATAAAGAAATATAATTATTTACTGAATTAACTACATATTAATATTAAATATTAATCATAAAAAGAGTTTATATACACGGTACTTCAATAATCATTGCATTTAATTCATTCAAATATTGATATATTTGACGTTGTGGCAACAGGGGTTACCAAGGAGGGAAAATTGATTAAACTTTAAGTCATTTTGGACTTTTTATACGATTTTATTGCATTTTTGAGTAAAAAATGATGTTCCAGGAAGAAAACGATGTTTCTCAGATCGAAAGAGAGCCTAGAGTCACTTCTATGGATCCCAATGAAAGAAAATTAGCACGAAAAATGAGAATTCAAAGAAGATTGGAAGCAATTAAAAAGTAAGGTGTTTTTTTAAATAGTATTTTAGCGGTATTCTTTGCACAAGTAGAGTCAAAATTGACAACACCGTTTGGGTTTACATCTATTAAGCTTAGAAAGCAGGTTTTTTATTCGGAATTTGACACATTTAATTATGTTGGTATTGTATGTAACATACAGTATGTTACTTTGGTATTTTTAATATTTAAAATTGGTACTCCTGTTCAAGCCCTCAACTTTAAGTACTTTGACATTTGCCATTTAACTATTATGTTCTGTGATTTAACTGTCAGAATTATAATGGAAATGCAAATGTGCCTCTTTTGGGCTTTAAAGTCACCTATATTTTATAAAAGGTAAACTTACTGCATTTTTTAACAACTTATATTTGACATTTTAAAATTTATAAACAATGTTTATTCTTATAATTATAACATAACCATAATTATATTCTCCACTAAACTAAAGTTCATGTTTTTTTTATCTGGACTGCGGCAACGTTGCAAATTTAGGGGTTTGGTTGGCAGTGGCGGCTGGTGGATTTTGGGTATATGGGACCCACCCAGGGCCGAGCCTAGGGTATCTGCCGCCCGGGTGCAAGAATTAAATTTGCCGCTCCCATTAATGTAAAAAATTAGGTTGTCGGTAGGGAAGGAGTTCATAATTTATCATTCTCAATAAACATATAACAAATTTTATAGTAAAATAACAAAGTATTTATTAACAATTTGTCTGCAACAAGTCAGTTTTAAAAAGACTTAAATCTTAAGTCTTAAGTCAATTCTAAAATCAAAATGATTTAAATCTTAAGTCAATTCTTAGATAAAGTTAAAATGATTTAAGTATTAAGTCTTTGAATTAAATCTTTTTTTTTTCAAGTCAAGTCATTTTCGCAAATTCTTAAATCAATATAAAGTGATTTAAGTCATCTTATGACTTAATTCCTTTAGTAAGTCGTTTTTATGACTTAAGTCTATATATTTTTTATTTAAATCGTTATCTAAGAGTTAAGTCAATAAAATGACTTGAATCAAAAATTGTGATTTAAATCAAAATAATTACCCTTAAGTCAATACAACGATTATAATAATAATAATAATTTTATGGTATTAATGATACTGATATTATTAATCTATTGTAGATACAGATGATAATAAACCACTATGTTAAGAATTTAAAACGATTTATTTTCAACACTTACAAACAAAATATAAACTTAAAACACATTTTTTGAGCATATAGTAGACAATCAAAATAAAAACTTAAACCACCTTTTTTAGTAGTAGTACATACAGGGAGGCTACTTTTTTATATACATAAATGGGTAACTTCTAAACGGTAATAGATTCAAACTCTGTTAAAATAGATAAAAGTTACAAATTAGACCTAACTACGCACGCATAACACGACGAATGTTGGCAAACAAAATAACAAAATTATAAATCTGCATTTTTTTTTTCATTTATTTTAGACAGGCCGTCAAACGGTTCCAAAAAGCTAACTTTACCGCGGCGGTTTTTTTATTCACTATAGCTATAGCGGTAGCAATTTTAGGTAGGAAATTAAAGGAGTTTTTGATCTGCTACCGCGTGAACCCCTGGCAGTTCAAAAAAAATGTCGCTGTTAAAAATTTATAAAAAAATATACGAAAAATCTGACTTAAATATTTTCTAAAAAGACTTAAATCTTTTTAAATTACTTAAATAATTTACCGACTTTTATAAAGACTTAAATCTTTTTTTGACTTAAATCGTTTCTATATGACTTAAATCGTATGTACTGATTTAAGCCTTTTATTAATGACTTAAGTTTTTTCTATTTTGAAAAAAATATTTAAGTCACAAATCATTTTGAAAATTACTTAAATTTTAAGTCTTAAGTCAGTTTTAGAGAAATGACTTATTACCAAATGACTTAAGTTATTAAAACGATTTAAATCAAAAAAACGATTTAAGTTTTCTGAGAGCTTGCAGCTCTGTTAATAACAAATACATAAAAGAATAAAATAAAAATACATTCAGGGAAAAAATCAAAAATAATTAATCTAAACTAAAAAACTAAAATCTACTTTTTTCGCTTTTTTAATAGAAAATTCCCTAATCAAGTCGCCTACATCCAAGTTGTTAGAAATATCTTCTTCAATACTTATAATTGCTAAATTTGAAAGTCTGAATTGACTCATATTGGATCTTAAATAGGTCTTAATTAGTTTTAATTTCGAAAATGACCGCTCTCCATGGGCAACAGTAACTGGCATCGTCAAAAATATTCTTAAAGCTACAAATAAATTCGGAAAGATGCCTTTTAAATCATTAACTAGTTTTTAACTTAAACGCATTAAAAGACAAAAGAAACTACTATGTTTGCATCCTATTTGCCTCACGTTAATAGAAAAACTAAAAATTGCTGAAATACGCAGCCGTCAAATCGGAAGAAATTATGCTTTAACAGTTCAGCTTGTAAACAATATCACGTGGTACACAGCGCGCGATTTGATTGGTTTCCCGTAAGCCCGCTTCCGTAAAACATGAAACTTGACGAACTCGAAGCGGACGGACGGAAAGCGAAGCGGGCGGGCGGCAATCTATAAACCGGGCTTTAAGAAAATTGTCATCATTATTTTTTGTGGCTATTGCGCGTTCGGTTATGTCTTTTTTATCATTGCCGCCTGACAGCACAATTTTGGCATTGTTTTTATGTGTAGAATAAAAACGATGATTCCTTGAAACGCCGACATCAATAAAACGCAAGTGATTTTTAGAAAGTTTTTTGCATATTGCAAGGTGGCTTTTTTATTCTTGATAATATGATACAATTTTTTTGATGATATTTTGCCGCCCTGTGTTAGTGCCGCCCGGGTGCCATGCACCCCTTGCACCCCCGGCACGGCTCGGCCCTGGACCCACCCCAAATTTATGAGTTTATAATGACATTAAATAAACAAGTTCTGCAAAAGCAGAATTTAAATTGAAGTTTGCGAAAAAAAGATAACTTTTTGCTCGGCCGTACAGGCCCCATGGTGCCCCCAATAAATATAATATAAATTTAATTGGTGCAATTTATTATTTACCGTATTTTATCAACAAATTTCAAATTTTATTTAAAAACTCCAAATCATACAGATTTTACAATTTAAATTTTTATTATTTCTTTGAAAATTTATGCTATTTTCAGTCAGGAAAATTAACTACTTACTAGATTTTTCACAAAAAGGTTGAAGCTAACAGCAAATAATTTTTATTTTTTGTTTTTTTATTTCCCCCTTAAAATTTCAAAAATTTTTGATCTGCTTAGCTGAAAATAATGTGTGATTTAATATTTGTAAAACCGAAAACGTCACTTTTTTACTCCAAAAATGTCCATAATTATGGCTTAAGGCGATGCACTTTTTCTGCCATTGAGGCATTTAAATAAATATAATAAAAATAATATAAGATTTTAAAGTAAAAGAACTTTTAAGGGCAAAACTTAATTTCGATGAAGTTATGCCAATTGGCATAACTTCATCGAAATTAAGTTTTGCCCTTAAAAGTTCTTTTACTTTAAAATCTTATATTATTTTTGGCATAGTTATCTTTTATATCGATATTATCAATAATAAATATTACTGTCAATTTGACAGTGTCAGAGTATTTAATTAAGTTCTTCACCAGAAGTACCATTTTTTAAATACTAAAAATACTAAATCAAACTGGCATATATTACCAACTTAATAAAAAAAATCACGAGACAAAATAAAAAAATAACTTTATCTTAATTTGCGTCAATGTCGAATGTCAAAAACCGATTTCTCGACCTAGCGGTTCCTTAGATTATATACGTAAAATTTCATAATTTGATGACGCAATTTAAAACATTCGCCGTGACAACAATAGGAAAGTTATGACCCTAGACCACTGGTCTAGGGTTATGAAGTCATTGTGTGAGGGGCCGGGTGATCATCTAAATCCATTGTTGCCACATTTTAAACAAAACTTATTAATAAGGTTTACCAAGGGAAGGAAATAATCCAATTATCTCACTATCGAATAAAAGTTATTATTAAGTTTTTAAAAGTAGACCAGGTGGTGTGAGCACAATTCCGCGCGCGACGAATTGTGCTTAAGCACATAAAAACCTTATGAAAACAATAATAATAACTTTTTCTCAATTTAAAGTATATCCCGTATGGTCTAGTGGCTCGGGTTTGAATCCAGATACCGAAATACTTTTTTATATTTTTTTTTCTCAAAAATACTCCCTTTTAGAAAAAAAAAATATTCTAAAATTAACATTGTGACACAAAAAATAATGTTTCTTTTATTAATATGGAAATTCATATTTTATTACTTCCATATGCTATATCTTGTTTGAATTGGGAATGTGGCAACAATGGACTGAGATGCTGAGAATAGTCCCTCCTTCCGTTATCAATGCGCATGTCCAAAGCGTGCTAAACTGTCTGTGACCGTCCTAGACGTTAGTGGTATCTTATGGTGGAAAATTTAAATGTTGGAATATTTAAAAATTTTAATACTGTTTCGTTGTATTTACTAGAAAACAAATAATTGAAACAGAAGGTGAAGATTATACAGATAACGACATAAAAAACTCTGTCCAGCAACAAATTTTAAGAAGTTTTGAATTACTTGAAAAATACATTAATCAGGGTGATGAGTATATTACAAATGTTAGAATTGCAAACGATTCAAGGGAAGTGGATAGACGTGAAAGGGAGGGTAAGTATTCAGTACATGGCACAAATTATCATAGAAACCATTTTTGGAAATATCTAATTTATTTATTTATAACTCGTCTTCAGAATTTTTTTTCTGAAATTTGGACTTTAGTAACTGCCCAATAAACAATTTGTACTACTTATGGTAACGATAAATTATATAAAGGTTATATAAGAGTTATCAAATTATATAAGAGTTGAACAATTGTTCAACTCTTATATAATAAATAAAAACCTTAAGGTTTTATAAAATCGCCATTTAGTTTACTAGTTTTATAATGGTCATATAAGGTTACTGTAAACTTTAGGTATATAATTAGCTTATATAATTGTTTCTACAAACATTTTATATAACCTTTAGTAACCGTTACCAGTAGGTTTATAAAGGAGTTTTATAAAGTTTGCGGTTACCTGTTTTATAAAACTATTGTGTCTTTAATTTTTTTTAAATAAAAACTGTGAGTGGATTAAATCGAATGTTTATTGAAATAAATTGATTCCATTGCGTTAAAACCATTATTACTGCCGCAAAAAATGGCGAACCTGACAATACTAATCTGAGCGGTTAGATAGTAACCTTTTAAAAGTTTTATAACATCACTACAATGTATATAAGAGTTTCAAAATTATATAATAACACTTTAAGTAACTTAGATAGTCTTATAAAACTGAACTAGTACCTTGGGTTATATAAAATTACCATGAGCAATATAAGACGGCTCAAGGTTGAGACATTCTTTCCGCCATGATTGTTTTTTACATAAAATAAATGTTAATCGAATTGTATTACAAAAACAACTTAATTGACCAAACCAAGGTAAAAAATTACGACTTTAATGTAAGCAAAAAAAAAATTCATAAATTTTTTAATAGTACAAAAAATATTTATGGTTTGGTATTTTGATGTCCCCTGCTCTTTATCGAAGTATTGTGTACATTAGTGCTGTACAATTTAGCCGTTTAAGCCGGCTTAAAAGTTAGCTAAGTTAATTAGATAGCTAACTGATCAGCTTAGCTAATTTAACCGGTTGACTGAATTAGCTTAGCTAATTAGCTGGCGGCTTAACCAGTTAATCTAGATTAGCTCAGCTAATTAGCTAACGGCTAACCGGCTAAACCACCAGCTAATTTAACCGGTTAACTGAATTAGCTTAGCTAATTAGCTGGCGGCTTAACCGGTAATCTAGATTAGCTCAGCTAATTAGCTAACGGCTAACCGGCTAAACCGCAAGCTAATTAGCTAAGCAAATTTAGTTAACAGTTTAAATTGGCTAAGCTGATCAGTTAGCTATCTAATTAACTTAGCTAACTTTTTTAGCCGGCTTAACCGGCTAAATTGTACAGCCCTAGGTTTTATATTGTTACTAAAATAGGTACCGATAACCTTCATAAACTCCCCAAATAAGCTCTTTAAGGGGTATATAAGAGTGATATAAATATTTCTGCAACTTAATTTAGAAATTTTGGTTTTATAACTTGGATGATATTTATGGAAGACACTATAAAAACAAAAATGTTTATTGGGTGGTGAGGGATTCTCCCTTTTCTTAATATCTTGGGGGTTAGGGCTTCCAGTAAGGTTTTCTTCTTGTGTGTTTTCCGTTAACACCTCAGTTTATGGCTTTCATCGAAGTCATCCTGACATTTTTAAGCGATGCTAAGGTTAGTTTTTGATCACACATTGTTTTTATTAGGTTTGGGTAGAGAGCAAATAATTCAATCCCTCGAGGAAGAGTCTAAACTGGCGGAGGATAAGTTTAACGAAATTGCCGATAAATGGTCGGAAGTGTTGCGTTACAACGATCCTCTGCTGATAAACGACTCGATTTTGGAGCAGAAAGAGCGCGGGAACGAGCTTTTAGCTCAAAAAGATGCGTTAATTGCTAGTTTGAAGTTGGAACTGAGAAATGCCGAAAGAGAGTTTTCCAGTGATCAAAGAAAACAAATTGAGGATATCACCACGTTAACGTCTCGTATAGAAAAACAGGTAACAATTTGATGCCGACTACTACACAATATTAGGAAAAAGTTTTCGCCGATCTGTTGTTCGTTCAGTCCGTTCTGGTCTAGCAAGTTGGAGCTGCAGCTCCCTCAAACATTGGAATTGATGCATTTGAAGCAAATGAAGCAAAAAAATCGGCGAAAACTCTTTCAAGCACCTTTACAACTTTGGTTGAAGCCATTTTATTTTTCCCAAGCTTGTTTTCATGCGTAAAATTTACAACCAAGAGCTGAACAACATCGAAAAGGTGATGTTGGAGGAGAGAGACAAACTGCTGGCGGAAGCGCAGAAAAGATGGGAGGATTTATACAAAGAAAGAGATTTGGAGGAGGCCAAAAACTCCGACGCCAAACTGGAAGCGTTGGAGAGGTATCAGGAGCAGATTGAAATTCTGCGGAGAGATTTTCAGGAGCTTTACAGGTAAGGAAATAATCTGAGGAGAAAGGTACGGTGATACGTAACTTTTTATTGCTCAGAGGCACGAAAATTCGGGTCGAGCACGACATAGAAGATCTCCAAAAGGAACTTGAAAGCATTAAAGCTTTGACCCTGTTAAATAATGGTAAATTGGACTACAATTACCAGATTTTAAAAAAGCGGGAGGACGAAAATATAAGAATAAAAGCACAGCAGAAGAGAAAGTTGAATCAGCTGAGGGACCTTGTCATAAATTTGAGAAAGAAGAATAAGGATTACGAGGAAAATTCCTTGGCAACCATCAAAAAGTTGGAGGAGGATATCAAGAAGCTGAACGCTTGTATTTTGGAGGTAAGAAACAGTTGTATCAATGGGCTGATTCATGTTGTAATATTCTCAGGTGGAATCGAAAGCTGACCATTTCGCTTCCATAAACGACCGAAAATTCGATCAGATCCTCGCGATGAACAAACTGGAAGTGGAAAAACTTTTGCAGCGCATTAAAGAAGTGGATCAAATTATCCACGTGCAACAAATGGGCGAGCCCTGGGTCCCATTTGAAATTAACATTAGGTTTCACTATTACGAAAACATGCGACGCGGGATTACCATGGGGGCCATGAGAGGAAGTGTTGCCGAAAGAAGGTTAAGTAAGTATAAAAAGTATTGAAGGCAACTTGCGGGTGCTGTTCCTAGGAAATAAATGTTAAATGACCTTTGCCCTTTTAACAAGTCCTCTTTTAAGGTATTTCAGATTTCGCCAAAATTTCCTCGAAAGGATCCGGGGACTCGGAATCCTTTGTCTCTCTGGATTCCCAAGACATAGCTTTGAAAAAAACAGCTGCAAACATGTTGAAGGAAGTTAAGTTGCAAGAAGGAGACACAGAAAATTTGTGTGCGTTGGTTAAGGATATCATGAGAAAACTTGCCGATAATACAGGTTTTTTGGCCGAGGAAAAGCTAATGGAAATACTCACTCCATACACAAATGTCCAAAAGACTGTGGTTATGGTCGACAATACTTTTGTGGTAAGTGAATGACATAAAACCGTTTCAAAATACAAATTTATTCATTCAACAGTCAAATCAGCTTCACTACTCTTCATAACTTTATACGAAGTAAATTTCTTGTTGTATTCTGAACTGCAAATTTTCGTGGACAATTTTGGTCTGATTTCCAAAAGGTTTTCCGCAAATTCCAAACATTTTTCATCTTTACCCAAAAATAAAGCCTTCAAACCATACGGTACATCAAAATTCAGCATTAGTTGATCACAGAACGCAACATTTAACATTGCCAAGTTGGTACATGAATTTAATACTGCGTTTATATCGGTTACTTTTTTACAACTTCTCAGTATTAATTTGCTCACATTTGGGCATGATTTTGATATTTCTAAAATGCCTGCATCGTCGATTTTTGAGCCTGTCAAATCCAGTTCTCGTAATTTTGGAAGTGAATGATCAGAAAAAATGTAAGCAACGTCTTCAGTTCTAACTTCATAAGGAAATCTGATTTTTAAAGCTTCCAAGTTCGGCATTATTTCTCTAGTTCTTCTGAATATTTCTGAGGTTATGTTTTGAGCACCATAGAACCCTAAACATAGTTTTTTTTATAACAAATGTCTCTCAAATACAAATACTCACCAAGATACTCTAACTCCTTGCAATTTAGAAGTAACTGATAGGTTACGTTGGATAAATACACAGCATCCAGGGAAATCCTTTTCACTTTGGAAAATGTTGCGAGCAAAAACGTGCAATCTTCGTCCCTTAAAACTTGTCTTTCCTCCAGGGGATCGAACACAGCCAGATGAAATTCTTCCAAACTCTTGCAATTTACAGCTGCAGAAACTAGATTTTGCAGGCTTAGATAGGAGTTGCCTCCGAAGTTGATGCTTTTGAGGTTTTTTAGGTAGCTAAGTTCCTCGAAAAATCTGGTGGCGCGAAAATCGCAGCCTTTGAGGTCCAAATTTTGCAACTTCGTGCAAGATATGATGACTCTCCTTAGACTTTCTTCTTTTATCGCCAAATTTCGTAACTTTAAAGATTTTAATTGTCGCAAATTTCTGCTGATTTGCCTTAGAACTGTGGATGGGTCCGATATGTTCTTTATATCTACGTGTTCAAGCTTGGAAAACATCCATATTCGGTCGCATATTTTGGTGGTGGGGATGGATTTCCCGACCACTTTCAACGTTTTCCACAACTCTGGTTGCAAGGCCGCGTACCTCCACCTCTGACAAACAGGACTGATCACTTTTATCAGCTCATCTTCGTCGAAATGTTTGAAAATGTTTTTCAGAATTTTCACCGGCAAACTACCATACCCAGTGGGGATGTTACGGGTGTTGTTTGTCAAGATGCTGAAGAAGCTTCGGTTTAGTTGAGGCTCGAAGCTCGATAAGGATTTTATGGTTGCGATCGTGCCTTCTTTTTGCGCTGGAGGATTTGGGTTAGGCGTTTCTAGAACACGGTCTGTCATTTGCGGATATTTTCCACGATAAACCGCGGCTTTTTTAATTATGTCAATGTCAGTGACTTGAATTTCAACAAAACGGTCTTGAACCATAGACCTATGAAATGTGGTTCAAGTCACAATCCACACAACAAGGTCTGTTCTATCCCGTACTAATAATCACTGCAACACTGCAGAGAGTTTAACGCCGGCCATTTTTGTTTACAATTCTTGTGCTTTGGGTTTGTGCAGATTAATAATCGTATTAAAAGTTGTGTTTCTTACAGAGGCACTTGTAAGCCTTAAAAGAGGCCTTAAAGTGCTAAGAACAACCATTTTACTCCTCTCTTGTAAAAAATAAACCTTATTCTATCAGACTGTCAAATATAAATTTTAAGTTTATTTTGTGGGTTATGCTAAATTAACCTTAAAATTGACATTTGACAGTTTGATGACAGCCCTGATAGAATAAGGTTTATTTTTTACAAAAGAGGTGTAAAATGATTGTCCTTACTCAAAGAACAATAGATATTCCTAGAATATTCCCCTCATAAACTTTTTTCAACATTGGAATATGCTTTAAAGATACTAAGAATATACACATGAATTTTGGAATATTAATATATATATTCCCATTGGACTTTTCTAAGAATTCTTAGAAAAGTCCAATGGGAATTCGTCAGATATTCTAAGAATATTCCTTTGTGAATATTCCAGGGATATTTAACTATAAGGCACCAGGAACATTCCCTTGAAAATATTTTGTCATATTCGGGATATACCTGCCAGGATTATTCAAGCGATAATCAAATATCATTGTTGTGTGGATTGTGGTCCAAGTCCAAAAGAAATTCTTTGTTGAAGTTGGTAATGGCTGATTTAAGTGGCAATTTCAAAAGAAAATTTATGTTATAATAATAATAATAATAATAGCTTTATTGACGGATATACCATTTTACAGTTTTTACAATAAGTTACAAATTATTTATCTTGTTTTTAAACACCACAAGAGAACAATTAAAAAAATCTAAATCTAATTTATTAACATCAGAGCAAATTGGCATATATTGGCCATATTGGGTCTTATGATTTTTAATGTAAAATAAATTTGCTTGCCTGGTATTTCTTATTGGTACATGAAAATTTATCTGCATCAAAAGGTCTGGGCAATTTATACAATTGTTTAGTAGTTTATAAAGAAATACAATACCAAATTTTTTTCTCCTTTTACTTAGTAAATCTAAATTTATAATACTTCTAACCAAATCCAAAGAATAAGTACATTCAATATTTAGTTTGTAAGCACAAAATCGTAAAAATTTATTTTGAACGCTTTCGAGTTTTATACTATAATTAAAATAAAAAGGTGACCAAACAACACAACAGTACTCTAAAATACTACGGACGAATGACATATATACATTTTTTAAACATTGGACATTATTAAAATCTTTAAGAGTGCGTATTAAAAATCCCAACATTTTTAAAGACTTATTTACAATAAAATTAATGTGGTAATCAAATGTTACCTTACAATCGAAATAAACATCCAAATCTTTTATATAATTGACTTTATCTAAATTAATATTATTTATAGAGTACGGAAATGATATTAGGCTTTTAATTCTATAAAAACTAATACTTTTACATTTATTAATATTTAAGCTCATACAATTTTTTTTGTAGTTGGTTTAGATCTGGTTGTATATCACTGCAATCGTTAAAAGATTTAATATTTTTATATAATTTTAAGTCATCGGCAAACAACAAAAACTTTCAATTTTTAATACCACTCACAGTTTGAGTCCTCGAGTTTAAATAACTTTTTAACCAAAGATAAAATTTACCTGTTATACCTAATGCATTAATCTTTGCTAGAAGTATGGTATGGTTAACAGTATCAAATGCCTTAGAAAAATCAGTGTAGACAGCATCTATCTGGCTTCGATTCACTAAATCCGTGTTGTTCATCAACTAAAATATTTCTAAACAAAGGGGTTATTTTTGTTGTTATAATTTTCTCCATTATTTTGGAAATTTGTGAAATTTTTGATATTGGTCTATAATTCCCAATATCACTTTTGTCACCATTTTTAAATAAAGGAATCACAAAACTCTTTTTCCACTTATCAGGAAACTCACAATTAGTTAAAGATAAATTAAACAGTTTTGTTAAAGGCTTAACTAATGAAAATCGACTTTTTTTTTAAACTAAAGGAGGAACACCATCAGGACCCGTACCCTTATCAACACTTAACATACACAATTCTTTAAATACCTCACATTCAGAAAGAGAACAGTAACTTAAATCTACGGTATTTGTATAATTAAAAGAAGGTACAGCTTTATCACAGTTATCAGTATAAACAGAACCAAAGCAATCTGCAAAAAAATTAGCAATCTGTATGGGATCATCAGTCTCCAAATTATTATATTTCATTTTACTGGGCATTGAATTGTTAGATTGTTTACTATTAATATAATTCCAAAAAAATTTGGGGTTACAATTTATATTATACTCATTTAAGTTTATATAATTTCTATAACACAGGTCAGTTACAACTTTGTTCCGAATTTAAGAAGCATTCTCAAACAATGCGTATCCCACTCTCTTCCAGGTACAGGCTTCTGCAAAGAAGGCTGTTTACTTTTCTTATTGTGTATGGATGTTTATCTAGTCTACAGTGTCCCGTTATGATTCTGACAAGGTCAGGAAGGTTTTGACTGTATTTGGTCAGCTTGTCAGACGGGTTGTGGTTATGGTTTTGGTCTGTTTATTGTAGGCACTCGGTATAAAAGATAAGGACGATATGAACCTTTTGGTCCAATATTTCCTGCCATACACTTGGTGTCCGGAGTGTTGCAATGCAGACATAGTCGATGATCGTGACGATACAGCCAGCGCAAAGTCTGCGACCATGATTGCTAGAGACAGAAAAGAGAGTGTTTTACGTGAGTTTTAATCACCTACTTAAAAAGGAACTTGTTGTATCATTTTCGTGGTAATTTAGACAACCTGGGCACCGTTTCCAAGATCTCCCAGTTGGACTACACAAGGGGGGTGGAATTCTGCGAGGAAAATTTGATGAAAGCCATTCAGGACGTTGACTCGGTGATCCCGAATGTGGTGCGGGAAGTTGCCGATTCAGCGGATTTCGATGATTTGAATTTGTCTCCTTTCGAAGATAAATCGGTAGTTTCGCCCGGAGTGTCCGAAAGTCAGCCCAACAGAACCACAAGGTGAAAAAAAAACTGACTTGACTTTGCAAGTTAACTTATGAACGTTTAATTAAAGGTTTGCCGAAAAAGTTGACACCGACAACGATCAAAATAGAAACGCAGCCGTGGATATGGTGCATTGTGCGATGTTTCATCCTTTAAGCATCAGTCCAGTGCACGTTTTAACGGCCCTGAAAAACTTTGTCACTGCCTTTTACTCTGGTAACAATCAAATCGTGTAAGTACTTTTACTTTTTTTATTTTTATGGTAAGGAACAAATCATTATTTATGAAGATTGTTTTAGAAAACCTACGATCCAAGATCGTTTGGATAACAAACGGGAAACGGTTTCGAGACAATTGCCACATTCTGAAATTAAGAGATTTTGGTTAAAATATAAAACTGTTTTCCCTGAGGAAAAAAAGCAACTCTGGAAGGCTCTTTTAAGGGGGTTGATAAAGTACCATGAAATTTTGAAACGTAAGTAAAGTTAACTTTTTTTATCTGGACTGCACGTTGCAAATTTGGGGGTTTGGTTGGTAAATACGGAACCAAAATTGGTTGCATTGATTAAAAGTTTTAATTTAATTTAAAACAAACCAAACTAGCTATTAAACGGTTGTCAAGTTCAGTTGAGTTGAGTTGTCAAAAATTAATTTGGCTAGTAGTTAAATATAGGTGACTACGACCCAGGAGAGATTAATTAAAATTTTATTTAATCACACGTGAATGTTGTCCAATCATTGGACTCCAATGGTGAATGGGTATTTCCAGTGGACGTTAATACTTGTAGTGGCTTAATAATAATTATAATGTATAGAATATATTGTCCAGGACTATTAATGACCCAGCAAACAGAGCTGTAACCAACTCGTGTTATTCACGTCGCATTTTGGTTGTTATTTAACGAGTTTTAAAGTAACGGAATATTGACGTGAAATAAACGTTTTGAAAAAACGAATGTTTTAACAAAAATGAAAATTTTATATTTGTTAAAAATATTACATAAACATAAAAAAACTTCACATAGGTACAGTTCTTTCAGTCGAAATCAAGAAGGTACTTACCACAGGAATTCTGAGAAGTTTTAAAAATACGTTTGATATACGTAAAATTTAGACGAAATATGTACCTAACTACCCAGCAAACAGAAAATGACAAACGTTTAAGAAGTAAAAATAAATGTCAAAATAAAACGTAAAATGACGTATATTTCTCGCCATTATCTGACCACTTATTTCATACCAGAATCAGACGAATATGCGACGTCATCAAAATGTTTCAAAATTCGCCAATATGTAGGCAACCCATGCATACCTCTCGCCTCTGTAGCGCAATAGATAGTCCTATAAAGGTGGAATGCCTTAATCTGCTAACTTAGCAGCCTAGACCAAACCAAATAGACGAATATCTCAATAGGGGGGGGTTATTTTAAAATAAACTTTCTCCATGTCCTACAGATGTCGCTGTGTCTAATGACGTCACGTCCTTGGCATATGGACTTGTTTAATCAGTGGGTTAAGTTGTGTCAAAATAAACGACTTTTTGAAACGACACCTGAAAAAGTCTTCAAAAACTGCAGAGTCTGTTCAAAGCATTTTGCTGAGAAAGACTTTATAGCTAATAGAAGGCTTAATCGTCAGGCTTACCCAACAAAATTATTACCAGGTATTTTTTAAGTTTTATTAAATTTAGTTTTAAAAAATGTAGAGGTTTGTTTTTTTTAATACAAGTTTTTTGCTAAATTTTAAGGGGAAATATTAGGTTTTTAAATTAAAAAAAAGTTTATAATTAAGGAGCTCGCGAACGGAGAACAAAACCCTATGAATCCCTCACTAATTAAATGTCAAAGTTAAAGGTTTGGTTAAAACCTTGATAATTCCATGTTTGGGGAAGAATTCGATAAATCTAAAAAATTGTTTTATTTTCCCCTTTAATAAAATGGTTTTATTGTTGGTCTCGGTATAAAAAATATTTTTTTTACATATTGTAAAGAAAATTTTTTTTTATGTTATAATCTTTTATTGTATGTACTTTTATTACTAATATTTTTTAAGAGGTATATTTTATATATATTTTTGTAATACATAATAAAGAAAAATTTCTAATTCAAATTACTTTAATTATACCCTTAACTATTTTTATTTTAATTTGTATATTTAAAATTAAATTTTTATATATAGACCCAATGTGGCCCAATTCTGTAAAAAAAGGTATAATTTGTTTGATTATATTATTTATTGTATTATAACTATAAAAATGATAAAATGCAAATTGTCGTTTTATGATATTTAATTATTGTTGATTGTGTAAAATATTTAGTTATTTAGTTAAGGTTATTTCGAAATCTACGTTTTTTTGACAGAATTTGGTAACGCTGACAATCTCAAATAATAAAATAATTTTTTAAAATTTAAATATACGCGGTCGCTTTTGGCAACGCTGCATTTTAGTTCCTCCATAACCGTATAAGGGCGCTTCATTGCATCAAAATTATACCGTCAGATGTTCATCTATTTGGTTTGGTCTAGGCTTAGCAGTGCTAAGTAAGAATTTCTTACTAAGGCAAAATTACTGACCATACTGCTTCTGCTTGTAAGTTTTGAAGGGACACAGCTGGTCCTGTTGCCCACTCTGCGAAAAGTAAGCAGTGGGCCCCACTAGCAATTATTCAACAACCAAAACACGTCAATTTTGGTGATGTCTTTAAGAATCGTCTTAACCACGTTAAGGGGACGTTTTTTTTACTTTCAAACTAACACGTTTTAATTACGTCCACAAAATACGTAATAAAAATGTGACATTCCAACGTTGATAACTCGTATTATATACGTAAAAAAACACGTCTTTTGGTTGAAATATTACCAAAATGTCACGTGTTTTTCACGCTTTTCTTTTTGCTGGGGATCAGTAACTTGAAAATTAAAAGAAGAAAAAGTTTCGAAATTATTGCTAATCTTTTTTAAACCAAATGGATGCTATTTTCAAAGACAGGAAAATTAACAGCAAATAATTTTTATTTTTTTATTTCCGCCATTTTTTTAAATTTCAAAAATTTTTGATTTGCTTAGCTGAAAATAATATTTGTAAAACTAAAAACGTTACTTTTTTTACTGCAAAAATGTCCATAAGGCGATGTACTTTTTCTGCCAATGAGGCATTTGGCATAAAATTTATTTATTTTAGAATCTAATATTATTTTTGGCATAGTTATCTTCTTATATCAATATTATATAATAATTAACAAGTAAGTACCTAAATTATCAATAATAAATATTACTGACCAATTTTAAATTCTAAAAATACTAAATCAAACTGGCATAAGCTACCAACTTAATATAAAAACGCGAGTCCAAATAAAAAAAATGAACTGTTTTTATGCTGAGTAAATTTACTTTTTTGACACTTTAAAATAATATACTATTTCTATGAATCATTTTCCAGAAAGAAAACTGGTCAGTCTCGAGGTGGTTCATTTAAGAGGACAAAATAAGGAATTAAAGCAAATTCTTTCGAATTATTTGCACCATGGTAAAGCAATGGACCCTCCATGTGGAGAAATGCGGGAAAGCAAGTTTTCCAAGGGAAAATGTATCGAAAAGAGATGATTAATATACATTTTTTATTAAGAAGTTTGCGTTTTATTACAGCTTATATACAGGGTGTTTCACATTAGAAGTTTCTGGGAAACGAAAATTTTAAAAGCTTTTATAATCCATTTAAGTCTAAATAGCCTATAACTTTTTTGTTATAAGGTTTGCGTATAGAGCAGTGGAATTTTTTGAACCTAAAAACATTATTTAAAAGATTCCATGTCAAGCCGTTTTACTATTTAATAACACATCACAAATTGTTATGTTAAATAGTAAAACAGCGCTCGCCAATTTGATATTTATTTAATCTTTAATAGGTAGTTATCAAACGTTTTACTATTTAATAACTTGCAATTGTGCTATATGGAAAAAAGTAAAGCTTTTATGGAGAAAAGTTATTTTATATTATACATAGTTTTGGCAAATCGTCACCCTAATATAACAAGGTTGTATGTTAAAAAACCGAAAAATTTGAGTTTATGCTTCTACAAGGTTTTATGTAATCCACCATTGACATACAACTTGAAAAGAACTCTATATATATGTATACATAGAATATACATTATATAGAATTATTTTTAAGTGGTATGTGAAGCGTAGGCCACGTATAATCCTGTTGAAACATAGACATATATTTTTCATTTTTTTAAACATACAACCTTGTTATATTAGGGTGACGAAATGTCGTTTATTGCAAAAACTTAAAGAGTTTTGGCAATTATCGTATATTGTAAAAAGTCAAGTTGTAAGTAGTTATTTAGCTGTCACTAATACTTTTGTAGACTTGCAGGTTTTTGAAACACCTTAAAATCCTTAAATCTAGAGTTTTTTGTTTTTCCCAGACAAGTCTGCCATACTTTTTACAACATTCGTATATTGCCAAAAGTTAAATGCAATACTTGTATTTTAAGTAAAGTTTAAGTTTTTTAACATTTAAGTGTTGCAATAAGTATTTTATACAATATCTGCAAGTCTCCAAAACTATTAGTGACATCTTCTAATGTAAATACAACTCTTTGGGTTTTTGCAACATACGATAATTGCCAAAACTCTTTGAGATTTTGCAATATATGATAATTGCCAAAACTTTGTATATTTAACTTTTCTTCATAAAACTTTACTTTTTCCCATAAAGCACAATCGCATAAGCCTTATAGTACAGTCATCTTAGTCAAAAAAAGGGATCAACCTCGGAATCTAACGGAATAAGCTGAATTTTTGTGAAAACCTTTATTTTAGCATTACAAATGTTGTCTCAAAAGTCACATATGCCAACGTGTGAGCGGCCTTAGATATTCAAGGTCAAAGGTCGCAAAAATCAGTTTTTTGAAAATATCTCGTTTTCTCTGCCTCATATCGTATTTGCATTTATTATAAAAGTTGTAGAGAATAAAATTCTCTACAAATTTTTTTTTATACGTCGAACCGTTTTTGATATAGAGGGCGCAGAGTGTGGAGCGCTCAGCCATACGTACCTTTAGCGCAAGGTAAATCGTGAATCCCAATCTATTATAACGTTTTTTAATTAATTATATAATAAATATTACTAAAATAAAAATTTAATACCTTATACATATATTTATATTTCTTTTAAATCAAATATATTTTATCTTCATATTTATCTTATATTTTAATTTAATTTTAATGAAGGATAATTGGATCGGAGTAGGAAAAAATGTTTTTATTTATATCAATATTATTATTATTATTAATCTTTATCTTCTTCATCCTCGTCTTCTTCAGGTTGGCCAGCAATTTCAGACTCATTCTCATCATCACTTTCGTCGTTATCATTTTCATTAATTGTCATATCTTCAAAAACTTACTTATAACGCGTTTGTACTTTGCAGATTTTTTCTCCTTTGTTGCCTCATCTGCGACTTTACCACAAAATAAGCACAATATTTTAAAATCAAACACATCATTCCCTTTTTTACGAGGTCCAGTCTCTTCAAGGCGACGTTTTGCTGCTGCAATACGCTATAGCGTACAATTATTGACACTCAATATGAACGTTCACAGAAGTCAAAGTATTTAGGTAGTTTATGTTTATTTCTCTCAATAATTGCTTGTTTTAAAGTCTTTATACCGCGCACAAAAGTCACAGAATCACCTTCAGAAAGTAACTTATTACAAATAAAACACAAATCAGCCATGTTAACCTTTAAAATATTACGAATATTACCTTTCACAACCCTAGACCTATACCTAGGGTCACAACTTGCTTTAAATATAGGTATACCTAACCTTTTTACTTATAGCAAGCCCACTATAGTATTTCCAGGTATGTTATTTTAAAAGCAATATCTGGATCCAAGAGATGACTGAGACATATTCAAGGCAAATTCATTTAATGTCTTTTCTTCTTAAAACGCATTTATCATTAATTAGAATAACATTAGAATATATTTAGAATGATTCACTTCATTATTTAATTATTTGTATGTCAAAAGTAAGTAATATTTAATGACTATTTGTTTTAAAAAAATATATAAAAATAAATATAAGGTAATTAATTGTTATTTAAGCAATAATTAATAAATAATGAATTAAAAAAACAGTATAATAGATTGGGATTCATGATTTACCTTGCGCTAAAGGTACTTATACGTATATGGCTGAGCGCTCCACACTCTGCGCCCTCTATCTCAAAAACGATTAGACGTATAAAAAAATGTTTTAAACAAAATTTGTAGAGAATTTTATTCTCTACAACTTGTATAATAAATGCAAATACGATAGGAGGCAGAGAAAAGGAGATATTCTCAAAAAATTGATTTTTGCGACCTTTGACCTTGAACATCTAAGGCCGCTCACACGTTGGCATATGTGACTTTTGAGACAACATTTGCAATGCTAAAATAAAGGTTTGTACAAAAATTCAGCTTATTCCGTTAGATTCCGAGGTGAAATCCCTAGATGACTGGACTATTAACAATTACAAATTTGTAATATAAAAGTCAAAATACTTTTTGAAATTGTCATAGATTGTAAAAACTCACTTAAGTGAGTTTTTGCAATCTATGACAATTTCAAAAAGTATTTTGACTTTTATATTCTTTTAATTAATAAGTTTTTTCAACACACGAGTGTTGCAATAACTATTTATACAATAACCTGCAACTCTACAAAAGTATTAGTGATACCTTTTAATGTGAATAGCTCCATACAATCTTAAACTTTTTAAAATATACGATAATTGCCAAAACTCTTTGAATTTTTTAATTTTTAAAAATGTTTGGCTTGTCCTTTTTTTATAAGTCACTGTCTGACTGAATTAGTGCAGAATCGTATACCTACCATCTATTATAAATATGAAAAAATGTTTTAGACAAAATCTACCTATTTTTAGTCGAATTTGCAATAAAAAATAGTGTGTCCAATTGGAAATTTTAAAATTACCCCATGCCCTATAAGAATGAGAGTATGGGGAATAATTTTGGTACTAATTTATTTCCCCCCTAGAATCATTAAATTTTGATTTTAAACATTTTTTGTAAAATGCCTATTAATAGTAATTAACAGTAATAACTGAGATATTTCAAGAGTTTTAAGTTAAAAGACTTAACTTGTATATTATGTTACAATACAATTTTCGCTAAATAGATTTCTTGGTATACTTCATGTTCTTTCTTAGTCCAATAGGTGGCACTAAATAAAAGGTAACCCTCTATAAGATCTTTTATATAGATTCTTTTCTAGTCTTATAGGTGGCGCTGTAAGTACTTTTTCAGATACTTCCAAACATTTACAAATCATTTCTAACTGAGACTGTTTCCTTTTCGAGGTGAAGTGAAAATCACACGGGAGTTTGCATTAAGGCATAATTTGTATAAAAAAGCATTTAACAATAATAAACACACAAAATGATAATATTTTAGATTTTACAGTTTAGTAGTTTTAGTATTTAAAAAATGGTAATTCTGCTGAAAACCTTAATTAACTATGCCAAAAATAATATCAGATTCTAAAGTAAAAGAACTTTTAAGAGCAAAACTTCATTTCAATTTGGAGTAAAAAAGTAACGTTTTTGGTTTTACAAATATTAAATCACACATTATTTTTAGCTAAGCAGATCAAAAATATTTGAAATTTTAAAAAATAATGGGAAATAAAAAACCAAAAAAATAAAAATTATTTGCTGTTAGGTTCAACCTTTTTGTGAAAAATTAATTTTCCTGTCTTTGAAAATAGCATTCAATTGGTTTAAAAAAGATAATTATCTTAAGCAATAATCACGAAACTTTTTCTTCTTTCAATTTGATCCATAATAGTCCTGGACAATATATACATTATAATTATCATTAAGCCACTACAAGTATTAACGTCCAACAAAATACCCATTCCCAGTCCAATGATTGAACAAGATTCACGTGTGTCCACATAAAATTTTAATTTCTTTTATATAAATTCTTTTCAAAGCGAAGATTATTATCCACTGGGAATACATTGTCTCTCCTGGGCCGTAGACTATAGTCTATATAGTAGTTTATATTTAACTACTTTTTTATATGATTTTACTCATCTACGCACCACCAAAGCCAAATTAATTGCATTGGCTACAAAATTTGTCAAATAAGAATTTTTTGGAACACTGTAGAAAAAATGTATTTGACTATAAAACAGTTGAGGACAGTGATTATGACTCCCATTAAGGTGGCACTCTGGTAAATCAAAAATAACTGGTCGCAATTACCTAGCGGTGGTATATATACTGAGGACTTTTTTCGAAACGTAAGTGGTCGGTGGTACTGGAATCCAGAGTCTGCATACCGTTCTCATCGATTAAGTACGAAAGTTTGCCCCTCTTTTGTTTCAATCAGCGCACACTATACTTAATGCTGTTTGGACCAATTATTCTGTCAGATGCCAATACCGATCGGATTGATACATGGGAACCACGAAGCTTGCCCGCCATGTGGGGTACCAAATTTCGACTATTAGCATTCCACATGTCGATTAGGTTCATTTAGATTTCTCTTGGGGTAGGTAGTTAAGTCACTGTATATTTTTAT